CCCCCCCCAAAGGGCCCCCCCCCCCCCCCCCCCATCATCAACTGTGCTGTTCTGAAAGAAACTCTGTTCTGGTTACCACAACCATCTGTCAAATCCACATGCTAAAAATCCTCATGCAATAACTTGTAAGCCACTAAACACTAAATCAGATACCCGAAAGTTTCTTTCAAGTAAGTTATCCTAGTCAGCAGTCCACATTACTTCACAGGTTAGCCAGCACAGGTTTCAAGTCTTGAAAAAAAACACACAAGATTTTTCTATAGTACTTTATACTTGCCACACTAAGTTAAGTTTTAAAGCTTTAAAAAAAATACTGCCAGGCCAGTTTCATACATTATGTTCCATCTCAGGGTGAATTTGTAGCAACAAGATGACCATTTTGCACTTATTCTACTCCTATTCCTATATGTAAAAGCACCTGCAAAACATATAAATCCTTACTTTTCCCTATAACAAGTGTAGTCATGGGACAACAATACTGCTCACCTCCATGAAGCTATTTACCTAGCTAGGTTTCAGTAGCATTCCCATTTATAAGAAGCACAACTGACGTGTAGATTTACTCAATTGCTATAACACAATTTTTATTCATAAGACAAATTTCCACAATTTTAGGTCTTACCTAGACCTGACGTTAAGGCAGCAGTGCAGTTACCCTGATGAGTAGCCCTGGTGGTGAGCTACTGAGGCCCAGAGGATGGAACAGCAAAAACGCCTATGAAAACTTGGTGCTGGTCGTAGCATGCTGGCAAAAGAGAATGCTTGCCCCTCTGCACTGTCTGTCCAGCAGGTGCTGGCTGCAGCCCTCACCGCTGCTCCTTTCCTGCTGCCCGAGGGAAAGCTGGAGCCACGGCCTCCCACAGAGAACAACGCACCGCGGAAAACAAACACCTTCCCCGCACATCTCGCAACAAAAAGCGGCGCTTCGTGAGCAGCCTGAGCCCAACGGAGAGAAGGGGGCGGTAGAGGGAGGAAAACCCACCGCCCTGGCCTGCGTCCTGCCAGCGGAGTGGTTGAGGCAGCTGCGGCGCCAGGCAGGAACAGGTCGAAGCGAGGCAGGGATCCCGGAGCGGCGTGATAGCCAGGCCTCCAGCAGCCCCCACCAGGGCCGGGCAAGCGCAGGGGACCGTGGTCGGGGGCGGTCGGCGCTATTGTGTGCAGCCGCGCGGCGCGGGAGGCGGCAGGGCAGGAGTACAGCGCCCCCGTCTCCCGCGGCCGGGCGGGCTCCGGCAGGCGCCGCGCTCGCTCCTCCCCTCGGCGCTCCGCTCTCCCCGCACCGCTTCCATGACGCACCTCTCCGCCGAGCCGCCGCCTC